GTGTGTGGAGGTGGCGCTGGAGGAGCGCGCCGCGCCGGCCAGGTCCCGGACGGTGCCCAAGCGTCAGATAGAGCTCCGACCTCGGCCCCGGAGCCCCCGGCGGGCGTCCGGCGCGCAGCGCCCCGCGCGGCTTCTGCGCACCGGCTCGCTGGACGAATCGCTGAGTCGCCTGCAAGCCGCCGCGGGCCATGTGCAGACTGCGCTCGCCAGAAAACTCAGTCCGGCGCCCCTGGCCCTAAGTAGAGTCCCGTCCGGGCCCACGGAGCGCCTGGAGCCCACGACCCGGGAAACAGCCCGCGGCGCCCGAGTGGTGCAGGAGGAGCCCAGATCCCGACCACCCCGCGCGCAGGACCGTGCCGCCCTCCCCAGAGCCCCACGGCCGTGGCCCAGCCTCCGCGAGCGCGCGATTCGCCGCGACAAGCCCCCTCCAGGGACCGAGCCGCTGGGTCCTGTTAGCTCCAGCATCTTCCTGCAGTCAGAGGAGAAGGTCCCAGAGGCGCCCCACCGGGAACCCAAGATTCAATCTCAGAGAGAGACTTCGAACCCTGCACGGAGTCCGCCCTTCCAGACTAGGAGCCCCTGGCCAGTGAAGCCAGGGAGCCCGTCCCCGCCGTGGGAGGCCCCGAATGGGGCCCTGCGGGGTCCTCGCTGCCCACCTCCCCAGGCCCTGTCCCCGTGGGAACGGGCGGTTCGGAGGGTGAGGAGCCCATCGGTTCACGAAGCTTCTTCCACCTGGGAAAACTGGAATCCAGCCGTCGAGGAAACTGTCAGCAGCAGAAGGAGCCCTTCCCCTCCGACTCTTGCCCAGTGGGATCTGGGAGTTGCCAGGGCAAGAAGCCCAGCCCTTGAAGCTCCCGCCCTGAGGGAGCTTCCACTTCCAGCAGTCTGGGTAGCAGGGAAGGGGAGCCCGTCCCCGCCTGCCATGCCCGGGTGCGCAGCTCCAGATGGTCCTGTAGAAAGGCCGGGGAGTCCATCATCCCCGGAGCCGCGGGCTGCCTCGGTGCAGCGATCAAGAGCAGCTCTGAATGGAGTCACCCAGGAAGCGCAGGCACCATCTACGCCATCCACACTTGGGACTCCAGAGCCAACGGAGGCGCAGAGCCCATCCACGCCGGAGATTCTGGATCTTGCCTTCCGAGGAGGCAGCCAGCCGTCCCTAGAGTTGGTTGCTGCCTGCCAGCCACCGAGCTGTGGGCACGTGAGAGCCCCAGAGGCCGGCGAGCGGCCTGAAACCTTGCGCCCTGGGGAAGCGGCCGCAGGGCATTCATGCGTGGCCATCCGGAGGCCCCGCGACGTGCGCAAGATGGTGAAGACCACGTATGCGCCAACTTTTCCGGAAAGAACCCCAATCTTAGATCTGCCTGTATCGCCCGCCGATCCCCAACTGGAGAAAGACACCAAGCCCAAGGTGCAAGACCCCGAGGCGCCGGGATCCCCCGAGCCGGCTCACTACACTTCTGTCTTTCGTAAGGACTTTCTGCCGATCGTGCCTCACCCCTACGAGCCCTCAGGACCACCCTCCAATCTCGACACGGCCCCCCGAGAGGCCTCGAAGCCCAACGGCATCCCGCGGAGGAGAGCGGAGAACAACACAGCGAAGCCCTTCGCGCGCACTGAGATCCGCCTGCCCCGGGCCCTGGGCCTGCTCCGCCGCGTGGAGGGAAGCCTGGGAGTCCCGGGGCGCGGGCTGGGCGGCCTGGAGCACCCGGATGTGGGGGGAGGCGGCTGCCTCCTCCCCGACGGTACAGGTCAGGTCAGCCCTCCCGAAGGCCCGCGCACCTCACCCCAGGGGTCCTCTCCAGAGCCAGCGAGGACCCACCAGCCTGGGCCACCCGGCCCCAATGACCCTCAGGCATACCGTGGCTTGAGCCCAGAGAGCTCCCCCAAATTGGAAACGGCCCCCGCGCTTACCCTCCCACGGGAGACCCAGGCGAAGGCCCGCGGGACAGCGCCCGCCCAGCCTCGCTCAGCCTCAGCGCCCCCCATGGACCGGTCCCCGGAAGGCCCCTCCCTGGGGGCGCGCAGGCCCCTTGGGACTGCACATCCGGGGAAGGTCCTGGTGGACCCTGAGAGCGGCCGCTACTACTACGTGGAAGCGCCACGGCAGCCTCGCCTGCGGCTGCTCTTCGACCCCGAAAGTGGGCAGTACGTGGAGGTATTGCTGCCACCCTCGCCCTCGGGGCAGCCCCACCACGTCTACACTCCGCTGGCCCTGGGGTCCAGCCTCTACCCAGCAGCCTATGCGCCCGCCGGCCTCTCATTGCCGTCTTCCCCGGGCCTGCCGGCTGTCAGCCCCCAGCTGCCCTGGGCCTCTGAAGCCAGGCCCCCAGACAGGATGTACTGCCTGCCAGTGGGTGGAACCCCCAGCCCTGCACCACCTCTCTTCCTCTGCGCAGCCCCAGCCAGCTCTGGTCCTGCCCAGCAGGGCAGGGCCTCTCTGTTCCCGGTGTGAGGTTGCCTGATGCCCTGCCATCCAGCCCCCTGTCCTCCTCTCCGACCCTCATCTCCGCCCTTGACCTGTGCCATCCGGTCTTCTGACCTGAAGTTGCGTTCAGAGATCTGAGACCCAAGGCTGATGGAGCTGGGGCTCAGGGAGTGAGTGTCTACTTCCTTCCCAGACAAAAGTGTATTTCCCTTCTAGAGCCTTCCCAAGGTGTAGTGTGTGTGTGTCTGTGTGTGTGTGTGTGTGTGTGTGTGTGTGTGTGTGTGTGTGTGTGTACATACGCGCGCCCGCAAAGAATCAAATATGTAAAGACAAGGAGTGCCCAGAAACAGGCCTAGGTGGTACTGGGGTTCCCTCAAGGGGCACCTGAGAATGGAAGCAGAGGGAGACAGGGCTGCCCCCAGAGGTAGTGAGCTGTCTGCTGTCTACCATGGATGCCAGGAGGCACTGGGAAGGCAGAGGGGGAGGACCCTGTTCTCAAAGCTGTCAGCCTATGGAAGAGAAGCTGCTGCCTGGCCTGGAACTCCGGGAGGAGGTGATGGAACAGGCTGGTTCTGAGAAGGAACTGCAGGGGCCAGTAGGTGGAGGTGGAGCAAGGAGGTCAGGTGGGAAGGAGTCATGGCCGGGAGGAGGCACTGGGAAAGAGGTAGGTCAAGGTGGTTGTTCCCCAGCTTCTTCAAGGCCTCAAAGCTGAGCTGACTCACCCTGGGTCAGAAGCAGGGGCTTCAGCCACTCCCACCAAGGGGTTGCGTAGGGAAGGAATAAGACCTTAGGAAGGTCGTAAGTAGGGAGGGTATTGACTGCTGACCCCTCTAGGTCAGGACTGGTGGTAGAAGGGATGTCCTTGTGGGAAGCAGACCCGAGGGACCTGGAGACCTCAGGCAAGGGCAGAAATTGGAGCCCGTGCTCCAACTGTCCTGACGTTCTGGGCACCTCTGGCGGGCTGGGGTCTGGGCACCATAGGAAGAGTCTGTGTGGGCCTGGGAGTGGGAAGTGGTCTGTGTGGAGGGTCTGTGAGTGGTTCTGAGACTGGAAGGGCTGGGTTTGGCTGGCTGCTGTGTCCCACTATGAGTTTAGGGAGGGACAGTTCCCGTTAGAATCAGTGGCAGGGACAAAGAGGCCTCCTCTAAGCTCTTGGTCTCTGGGGAAAATGGGTCCCTGGGAGTCCCTGCCCCCCTGCCCAGAATTAGAAGCTGACTAGAGGAACTATGAGTCAGAGTGACCTGGACATCTCCCCTTGGCTGGAGACACTGGTCCCAATGGCATGGAGCACCCGGTGACATCCCTGGGCCCCACCCCAAATCCTGTGTGTGCAATAAAAAGCTAGCCATTGAACCGTAACGACGGGAGCCACTCTGTGAGGTGCCTTGTTTCCTGCCTCCGTCTCCTAGCACCCCACCCCACCCCCAACACACACACACCTGCCCTGATGCCTGGGGGGAAGGGACCCCAGGACTCAGAGAAGAAAAGCAGGTGTCTTCCACACACTGTAGTATCCCACCCTCGATGAGCCCTCGGCTGGCTGGCCGCTGCTCGGGTGGCCTCCTTTCCATTGATGGCTGAGTGGCTGATCGGCTTTGAGGTCAGTCAGGCCTGGGTTCCAACCTCAGCTCTGCCCCTCTAACTGCACAGATATGGGCTTGTCACTTTTCTCTGAGCCTCAGTCCCTGGTATAGAATTAGAAATGACAGTAACCCTCTCCTCGCACGAGGCGATCAGGGCACAGGAGGTAAAAAGTACTGGTTCCATGTGTCTCAAGCCAGGCTGTCCCCCGGCCAGAACAGGTGCACACGTGGCGTCTTCAGGGCCCAGGGGGAGAGGGGGAGTGGGAGTGGGAGGGCTGAGGTGTCGGTTCCTCATTGGGCTGGGCCAGCCCCACCACACACAGGCAAAAGCACAGCTGCACCCCAACGGCCCACACTTGCTGAGTGTGGCTCCAGGGGCCATGCAGCTGTCACAGGCATTGCTACTATTGCTGCTGGGGGCCTGGGCCATCCCAGGGAGCCTTGGGGACCAGGCTGTGCTCACAGCCACTGCACCACAGATGGATGATGAGGAGAAGTACTCCGTTCATATGCCTGTTCACCTCCGCTGCGACGCCTGCAGGGCTGTGGCCTACCAGGTAAGTCCTCTATACTCCCCCTGCCCTGCCAGACCCCTCCTCAAGGCCGACCAGATCCCACCACTGACCTTGGAGCTCCCCCTCCCCGCCACTCCACCCCACCTCATACAGCAAACCACAGGCCCAGACAGCCATGATATCGGCCTCCCCGCTTTGCCCAACCCCCCAGCTTATTCATTTACTCATCAGAAAAAAAACATCATTCTGGGATAGCCCCATGTATCCCGGGATCCCAGGGGATCACTCTCTTTCCTCTCAGACCCCTCCCTTTCCAGGCCCACCCTCAGATCTGGACCCTTCCCAAATGTCAGTGTCTTGCCTTTGCATTTGGACTTGAGTTCGTGTCTATCTGAGCACGCATATACACCCACTGTGCACTGTTCGCGCCCTGTCTGTGTACTTGCACATGGTATATGTACACATGTCGTGAAGACTGGACTCTGCCCCCTGACCTGTTCTCATGATTTAGAGCATCACGTGGTAATGGGTAGGGGTTTCCCTGTGCCCAGGCCTCACCCTCCACCCCACCACCACCCTCGTGCCCGGTCTTGGGCTGGCCTTGGGAGGGGCAGTGCAGTCTGCCTCACAGGTGCTTCCTGCCCAAATGGCTCCCTTGCCACCTCCGGTTCTCCCAGACCTCACCCCTGGGTGCAGTCCTAAAGCCCTAGCCTGCAGCCCCTCCTCATTACAGATGTGGAAGCATCTGGCAGAGGCAGATGCCAAGCTTCATACCTCAGAGCCCAGGGGACAGCGAGAGCTGAGCGAGTCAGTGTACACAGACGTTCTGGATCGCACTTGCTCCCAGAGCTGGCAGGGGTGAGTGCCAGCCGACCCCTCCCCACTTCAAGGGCAAGTTGCCCCTTCTCCACTCCCCACCATACACACACCCTGCACAGGAGTGCAGGCTGTGGGTAGGGCCTGGCTGGGGGCAGCCTGCCTGCCCCGGAGCTGTGAGCAGGTGGGTGGTAGAGAGGCTCTCAGAGGGGGCCTGGTCTGATGGGCTTGTTTGGTGACCCTGGGCCAGGTGGTTTCCACTAGGGAGAAGCAGCTCTGGGTACAGACCTCAGCCAATGCCCATGAAGCTGTGCACTGTGCCCAGCTTCACAACACCCTGGCTGGGCCCTCACTAATGCTGCATCTCTCTGCCGCCTCCAGCTATGGGGTCCAGGAAGTGAACCACGAGAAGCACTTCATAGGCCCAGGGCTAAGCGAGGGACCCAAGTCACTCATCAGCATGATGGTCACAGGAGGCCCCTGGCCCACCAGGTGAGGGTGGTGGGAGGAGGGTGGGGGGTGCCTGGGCCTGCCCTGGTGGGTTGGGCAGCCTCTGAGCCCCTGCTGTGCTCCCCTAGGCTCACCAAGACATGTTTGCAATACCTGGGGGAGCATGGGGAAGACCGGCTCTATGAGACGCACTGCCAAGGCGGCCGGGAGGCCCTGGAGGCCGTGCTGTGTGGGGGCTCCCGGGGCGCTTGCTGGGAGAAGCCAGCAGTCACAGAGAAAGAGCTGTAGTCGGACAGCGCCTTCCTGGATCCTCGGCTGGAGGCTGAGGCTTCCCTCTGGATGGCCCCCTTTCTTCTGCAGGCCGGCCCCTGGGCGGGGAGGCCCTTCCCTGCATGGCAGCTACTCCCCCTCCTTCCTCCAGCTTCATGGAACGGGGCCTGGGTGGGGGCGAAGGTCTTGCCCTTTGGATTTTAATAAAACCCAGTGGTCTCAACTCTTCCTCTTTGTAAAGGGTGCTTGGGGGGCGAAAGGACAGAGGGTGGTGTTTCTGCTGTTGCTGCTTAGAGCAAAACCAATCCACCTGTGTGAGTGGATGCTGACTTCCCAGATTGGAAATCTTTATGGGAGCAGACACCCTCCTCTTTCTCCCAAGGATTGATTGGCTGGTGAGTTTGAACTGCCGACCTTGCTGTTAGCAGCCTAATGTGTATCTCACAATGCCCCTCGCCTGCCACCCCACCCTCCCATTCAGGGCTCCTTCATGTCCCTTATCAAAACCAAAGTCACTGACTCATAGGTAGAAACTATTTCTGAATTTCCAAGGCTGTAACTCTTTATAGGAGTAAAAAGCCAGAGTTTCTTCCAAGGAGCGGCTGGTGGTTTCAAACCGCTAACCTTGAGTTTAGCAGCCCAGGGTGTAACCACAGGCTCCTGCTGTCCCTGAGAGAGAGGGCCACATACACCCCTAGCCACTTCCCTGAGACTGGGAGCTCTGCCACGGCAGGTAACAGGAGAGTGGCCAAAGGTGAAGATCCACTCAGGGACACTGAGTACGCAGGCCACCTTGTGGACATACCTGCCATGCCACTACGTGCTCTGAGTCCCTCCCGAAGACTCACTGGGTGACAGCCAGGGACCACTCACTTTCTAGACTGCTGCCTCAGGTCCCAGTGGCATGGTTGGGTCCCTGCCTGGGACAGGGCGTGGGGGTGGGGGTAGGATCTCCTGGAACCTGCTGGATTCAACATCTTGACTCCAAGTCCCCCGTCTGTCCCCCTCTGGCCATTTCTTCAGGAACAGAGTCCTAGTTGCTCACCTGGAGTCAGGAACCTGGGATAAAGTTAGACTATAATGAGCAGTTTCATTTGTGGGTGTCTCTGGGAGGGGACGGGAACAGAGACTCTAATCCCCATCTGACTGATACAGAAACCAAGCCTTAGCCAAGGGCAAGGGCTTAGGGTGAGTTCTGGGCTGGGAGGAGGATTCCGACTGGGGAGGATGAGGAGAGGCCAGCAGGTGGCGGATCCCCCTTCTGGCCTGAGGGACCACTCCAGCCACCCTACATCCCACCACCCTCTCCAGGACAGCCTCGGGTGCTGTTCCCACCCTGAGGGCCCGAGAGCCCCCTAGCAACCAGGAGGAAGCCAGGGTCAAGGAGCCAGCGCCTGCGTCGTGGACCTGTGTGACCGGTCCTGTGTGACTCTGGGTGCTGGGGGTCTCTCTGTTTGCCTGTCTGTGAACCTAGGAGCGGGTGTGCCAGCCTGGCCGCTCTCAGTGTGTGTTGTGTGGTTTGGGCTGAATTTCGTGTCCACTGGGTGGGGTGTTTAAGGGTGGGGCTCTGTGTCCATAGCCCCCTGAGGAGAGCGGGCAGAGAGGGAGGGGAGAAAGCGCTGAGGAGAGCCTTTCCTTGAACTGGTCGGACAACTTTGAGACACTGGGAGCAGGAGCCAAGAAGGGAGAGGAAAGAACAGACAGACACACGAAAGAACTAGAGGCCGGACAGGCACACAGACCTGAGCCTGCGGCATGAAGCTACTTCCCAGCTGGAGAGTGGTGCTGCCCGTAAGCCCTCAGGGCAGGGCCTGGCCATGGGCACAGCGACCCAGAAGTAGGTGGACTGTGAGGGGCTGGGGCTGGAGTAGCAGGGAGGGTGGTATAACCTGGAACCCTAGGGCCAGCCCCCACTGAGGACCTCGGTGCCTCCCTCCGTGCCTCCTCTCAGCTAGCCCTCAGACCTCTGAGCCAGGCTGGGCTGGGCCTGCCAGGAGGGAACAGGGGGTGGTGGTGGTGGTGTGTGTGTGTTGGCTTCATGGACTCCAGTGTATGAAGTGTGTGTGTGTGTGTGTGTGTGTGTGTGTGGGCTTGCTTCATGGACTCCAGTGTATGCAGACTCCGAAG